CTTCTACTGAATAATACTGCTAATAAAGGAGTCTTAAGGCTACTCCTGTTACTCTCATTCCACATGTAGCATTAGAATAATTATTATGTCAGAAGAAGGGAAGACTTTCTATTTCTTTGCTTTGATATATTTTTTTTTCCTAGTGGTCATTTGTTTTATGTTTGGCCTAGAAATCTCAGGCTATGTTTTGCCCTTCTGTCCACCCATGCAAACACATCAAAGACAGATCAGGTTTCCTGGAGCACCCAGCCCTTGTGGTGTCTCAGTCCCTTGCATTTGTTATTTCAAGCTCTTTGGTTTCTTATGACGAGTAAACAAGATTGGATTAAGTAGAAAAAAAAAAAAGGAAAAACCAACTGTCAACCAGGCTAATTTTCACCTCTTTTGTGTGAGGCATCTCTCTTGGAAAACAGGAAAACGTGTTTACCTTGTAGTGAGCAGGCATCTCAGCATGTTTCGAGTCCCATGTAGCAAGCAAAGCTTGTCATCAAACTCTCAGTGTGGTTATTGCAAACAAAGGGGTTGGACCCACGGTGAAAGCTCTGAGACTATCCCAAGAACATATTCTGTTCACTATTTCCATGGCAAGAAGGGAGCAAGGTCAGTCAGCTTCACTGGAGGAGTCTATGCTTGTGCTGTGTTTTCATTTTGGCCTTGTAGCCACCACTAGTAGGACTTCTATCACATAGATTGGGAGACAGACAGGGAGACCTATACCTGGGCTGCTCCCCCTGTACCATGGCAAAGCCCTTTGGAAAAAACAGGCTCTTCTCAGGTGCTATTGGTTGGACCTGTATTTGGATGAGATGACTTCTACGCTTGAAGACAGTGTAGTTTCTCCCCACAACTACAAAAGGTGGCAGGATGGTGAGTTCAGATGTGTCTACCTGCATTGTAGACATCTGACTGACAGAATTCCCCTTAATGGTGCCTGGATACTGAGGTTCTCCAGAAATGTGCTGCAAAAGCACATTCTGTTCTTTTTTCATGCTAACGTTGTGAACCTAGTTGTCCTGAATTGACCCCCTAGACCCACTGTTTAGGGAAACTCTGATCCAGCTGTGAAATTTGTGACATGGGGCAGGCCTTGAGCGCATTGGAACCGTTTTCATATTCATTAAAAACACTGACAGCTGCTTAAAAGCTCAGCACAGCTACTTAGCAAAGTCAAGTAGTATCTTGCCTTACGAGCAACTCCATTGATGGGACCTGCTTAAATGGAACCCCTAGAGGACTGAGATGCTGCGTGCAGCAGTATAACTAGGCAAGGATACCAAAGACTGGCTGTGAGTGGGTAGATCCTTTGATTTTACTTTTTTAAGATGATGTTTAGTTGTCTCAGTGTGGTGAGAAACAGTCAACATTGCAGCGATAGTCTTTGAACATACCTCAGCTTTAAAGGTCCATGATGGTAGAGCATTGGAGCACTATTCTGCAGCCCAACAGGCTTTAGAGGCTGTGACTCTGAAGGCCACATTGTGCTTCAGGAGCCAAATACTTCAGGAGTAAGTTTTTGTGAGCAGTGGTAAGGCTGGGATAGCTTCATGGAGATGCCTTCTCATTTTGGCTGCTGCCAGGCAGGACCTAGGGAGCTGAGCTAACTGCCTTGTTAATGGCACCAGCGTCATCCTTTAATCAACTCAAGGCAAGGAGAAAGTTTGGTGGTTGCATGCGAACAAGGTTCTTTGGCTGGAGCAAATAGGTCTGTTCAAGTGCAAGACTGCTTTGTGCAGGCTGTGGTCCTGCTCCCTGTATGTACCTTGTCTGCACTGGTTCTCCATCAGGAGAGGTATCAGAAATAGAGAAGCTCATTGTAGCCTGTCCTTCCCAAACAACTGAGTGTTCTCACAAATGTTGCGTTAATGACAGTGAAAGGTCTCCAGATGCTTAGAAGATACCTTAACCCTGTTTCAGGCTATGTTGCAGTAAACACCTGGATGTTTTCTGTTTTCCCTCCTCCCCATTTTGTCTTTTCTTTGGGTTTAATGAATTTTTCTTGGACCTTCAGTGCATTATGGTATTTTAATGGATTGATCTGAAGATGAAACTTGCCCGGTTTTTAAGTCCACACTGGAACATTTGCAGTGAAAAGGCTACTTTTTGTCATGAGGCTATTTTTTTTCAAGGGGCTTCATCAGTTTGTTTTACTGTTGATTCCCACAGCTTAAGCAAACCCATTTGTCAGTAGGATATAAGCAATAATCGTAATAGTCTTGGGGTGCATTTAGTGAAGCCGCTGGCGTTTCTCCCAACAAGAACCGGCTCCGTTAACACCAGTATTAAGAATGACTAATATTTCACATTGATACGGTGCCTTTCATCCTGTGGCATCCCAGAGTGCTTTCGAAGATACAGCCAGCCTGGAAGATTAACCCCACATTGTAATGACTATGTCTGAAGGATAAATCCGCTCCAGCGACAGGACCTTATTGAGGTCAATGGCAAAATCCCATTGTCTTCAGTCAGAGCAAGATCAGACCTATAGTGTTTAAGACTATCCCCTGGATTTGATCTGTTGAATGTGAGGTTCTCATCCTTGTTAGTTTAGTCCTTCTTAGAAGCAGGATGAGCCTTCATTCATTTCAGGGATGGGCGGGAATGTACCTTGCTGTAGGTGCACAGCAGACTGGCCTGTGCCCATAGGAATGAGTGAGTTGCCATTGTTTTTGGTACAAGTCCTCAGAAAAAACCTCTTTCACAATATCCTAAAGCAGGACTATGCATCCCAAGAGCGGAGCAGTCAGTGTTTTGCATTTGATAAAACAAAGAGCATAATTCATGCCATAATTAATTGGCTCCATCTGAAATTAATGAATTTCATATACATGTGCTGGGCCGGTTTAATTTTAATTTAGCATGTGTTTGCCATTTTTATCACAATGGGTTTTCATGGAGAAGATCTTCCCTCTGGATCTCTTGTTTCTTTACCCCAGAAACAGAGATGGGGCCATGGCTTTGATGTTTTGGGGACTACTTCAGTTCTGCTGTGACTGATCTTTCAAGTCACTGGAAAATATTCCAGCTTGCTGCTGTGACTGTGCTGGTCTTACTTCTCCTGACATTTATCTGAGTCCTTATCTGTTTGGCACTTGGGTCAGGTACCTGCTAGGAGAGTGATACCATGTACACCAGGATGATGTGTCCAGCTAACAGCTTAGATGGCATTTCTGCCTCTAGTTGCTGACCATGGCTTTGTGATCATCCTGAGTAAAACTGGTATTGCCATCCAGAAGTTTCACACCAAATCATGGCCTGGGCCAATCTGTTCTTAGTGATAGAATGAGACATGAGAGGTGTTACTTTGGGGACGTGCTCATTGTCCTGCAGGCTACAATACCAAGCAACACAGGGTGAGGACTCCATGCTTGCTACAAAAGCCAGCACAGCCCCAGTCCCAGCACTGCCACTTTGCCATCACCATCTCCTGAGCTTGCACCTTTGCTGCTTCACCTGGAAATCAGTTCTGGGTGCTCCTGAATCTGTGTGTCATGATGTGGGTCCTCACTGGGAACTGAGGAGGCTGGAGCTTACGTGTGCCTTCCCAAATCTGAGCTGGGTTCATCAGGGATTGGGACTTCCAGGTCTCCTTTAGCATCGCTGCCTGGTGGGGCTCACTTGGGGCTTCCTCCCAGCTTTGAACCTGGGCAGCACATCCCTGCTGTCTGGATTAGAACAGGCCAGGCAAAGATTGCCCATTCCAGCCATCCAGCTGGAGCAAAAGCCCTTTCTTGTGTGTGTATCCCCGTTCCCTTACTGAGGACAGGAAGCCAGGGAGACGGGTGACGTTGTATTTAAAGCCCATGACATTTGAGGTTTTTGTTTGCTGCTGCTCCAGGGCTGTTGGGCTGCACATGGGCAGATTCCTTCTTCCTACGTTTAGCTGCTGACAAGCAGGGCTGCTTGCTCTGGCTCCCTTTATCCATAGGTAGAGGAATAAGCCTATTTTTAGGACAAGATGAAATTTCCCATCACTGCTGATACAGAGAGCCCGAGGTCACTAATTCAGATGGGGATGAAAAACTTCAGGATGCTTAAACTGGAGAAGATGAGCCTGGTCTTTTCTTTCCCTGTGCCTCCATCCCCACATGTAACAGGGAGTTATTGTACCCATGTCTCCTCAGGGAGAGAGATCCGTGAATGATTCCCATGCAGTGGGGAAAGGCATTAGGCAGTGGTTGATGAGCAACAAGTGAACCTTTGCTGTGATCTGGAAGAAGGGAGTGCTTTGTCCCTTGCACTGATTTACGATCTTATGGGCGAAGATCTGCTCAGGACCCTCACAGAGACATCTTTCCATTGCCTTCACTGGGGCTGAGATAGTAGCTCCTGGTGGATAGTGGATCCATTCTTTCCCCTTTTTCTCCCTTTTGCAGAATATTCAACAGCACTGTTGTGTGCTCACTTTTAGTATGAAAAGTAGTGGTCAGCCCTAGGGTGATTGCTGGGCTGTCCTGCCTTCTGCTATGCGTGATATTCTCCAGAGGAGCTAGTGCAAGACCTATATAATTTCACATATAGACTCTCAAGTTCAGATTTTAGGTTGTTTATGAATATTGGATGCATAAACCCCCTTCCAAGTGTGGTCTTTGGGGCTTTAATGGCACCTTTGTTAACGCATGTCGTGATGTTGGCTCTCTATGCAGTAGTAAAAGTTTCTTACAGGAGTCCAACAGACCTTTTGCTAGCATTTCCTAACCCTGATGGGTGTGCAGATGGTCATTGCTGCTGTGTCTATCCATGCAGGAGAATTGAATGCTTAGGTTTCCTACAGATATGTCTGCATGAGGGTAGAAAATGCTTTGCTGGGCAGCACAGATTTGTGTTTTAGCTTCCCTTAAAATACCTGGACGGCTTTAGAAATAAAACCAGGTCAGCTAAAGTAAACCTGAAAAGATGGTTAGCGTGAAACCTTTCAAAAGAAGAAAAATAAGACAAATACCTGTCCCTTTTGTGAAGAGTTTTCCCAGCTCTTTAATGCCACTGTGAAAGTTTGAGATCCCTCACAGCACTGAAATCCCAGCAGCTCTTGCCGCTAATGGTTTTAGATCAGTCAGGAAGCCTCGGGGTGAGACGGTGTCTGCAGGGAATATTTCAAGGTGATAATGATTGGTTTCATTCCTAAACACAGTGCAATTACCTAATGTGCAGATAGCTGAATTATTATTCAGGTATGTTTTGCTCCAGTGAGGGTCTGCCAGCAATTTTCTATCATCTTGTCTTCAGAAATGTCAACCAAACTTGGGATTTCCTGGTGGGATCTGAATTTTGGGATGGGGGAGAGGTTGCGTAGCCATGCACATGGGGTTTACAAGGGGAGGAGGAGGGCTGCTGGCTGTTCAGGTGGTGCTGGGCACATGAATCCCATGGTGATGCAGGGAGAAGGGATGGAAGCACAAAAAAAAATAATTGGTTTTTGTTTAGATTAACAGACCCCTGACTATGAAGAAAGAAGGAATTCAGACCAGAAACCGAAAAATGTCTAGCAAATCCAAAAAGTGCAAAAAGGTCCATGACAACCTTGAAGACTTTCCCAAGAGCAGCTCCTTTAACCCCGCCGCCCTCTCCAGACACATGTCCTCCATCAGCCACATTTCACCTTTCAGTCACTCCAGCCACATGCTGACTACACCGACACCGATGCATCCTCCATCCAGCCTCTCCTTTGGACCTCACCATCCTTCCAGTATGGTCACTGCCATGGGTTAGCAAGAGACTCCCCTGCTGAATGCTTACGGTCTCAAAATGAGATTTACTTTATATACTTGCATTTTTGCAGGCGTGTGGTTATGGGTCTGACGTCCCGAATCAAATGGGAGGGGGAAAAAAAAAAGAATTTAAAAAACAAAAAAATTATTTGAAGGCGTAAGAGAGAAAAAAAAAATAAAAAACCCAGAAAAAAACTACAAAAAACACAAAAAGGAAAAAAAAAAGAAAAAAAACAGAGAGAAAAAAGTAGAAAAAAAAAAGTTTTAAAAAGTGATGTTTGCCACTTTTTAAAGGAACTCACTATGGCGTCTATGTATTCTTACCCACTGAATCTGGATACCATTTGTGAATAAGCCATTCAGAACTTGCATTCCCTATTGGACAGGATCTCTAGTGCTGTGAAAAAAAAAGAATAAAATGAAATAAAATAAAATAAAAAGCGCTGAACATTGCATATAACTTATATTGTAAGAAATACTGTACATTTGAGGAAGACTTTATTGCATCTGGAGAGCTGTAAAGAAAAAAGAAAAGGCATGAAGGACTCCGAGAGATTTTCTTTTGATTTTTTTTTTTTTTAAAAGGAAAAGAGACAAAAAATAAAGAGGAATGGAGGACAATTTAAAAACCAGATAAACAAACAATGCTGACCAAGAGGAAACGCGGTCTTACGAACAAATGGACCAACTGCCAGTCATGTCTTCTCCTTTGATTTGATTTTATTTGTTGGTTTTGTTTTGGTTTCTTTTTATTTGGTTTCCGGGGAAGGGGGAGGGGGCTGGCTAGAAAGGTTTTTGGATGATGCATTAACTAACTAACTAATGAGATAAATAATGAAAATCAATAAAAACCTGTAGGGAGATCATTCATTTCGGGCCACGGGCCCTTTTACATAGGAAGTACCAATGGTGTCAGGCAATCAGTGTTACCATGCGGACATTGCCAACAAGGGGTTTTCAGATAGCCATTCTCCAGGTCTATACGCATTGTGAACAAGTTCCTGTAATTGTTGTTTGTATGTATAATTCAACGCACCAAAATAAGAAAGATGTAGATTTATTTCATCCTATTATACAGACTGAATGGTTGTACAAATTTATTTACTGCTAGTGATAAGACCTGCTCTTTTTTTTTGTTTTTGTTTTGTTTTCATATTTTTTCCTCCCTTTTTTTTTTTTTTTGAGAATAAACTAGATTAAATTCTGTTGACTTAAAAGTGTTTTGTGCTTGGGGAAAGGGAATATGTTTCTTTAGTACTATTATTTTCTGTTTTAAAGTTGGTTTGGTGGTATTCATTCCATAGTTACCACGGGTATGGGAATGTGTGTCTCTGCGCTCATGCTGACAGCCAAAGTAGTGTTTGCAGTGGCTTGAGAATAAGAAAAAACACAGAACAAAGGAAGAGAAAACCCTCACAAATAAATGAACTGCATGTTAGTGTAACCCCACTGTCCGGTGTGTGCTCCCTGTCCCTTAAATCTCAGCCCAGCTTCTGCCTCTGCCTTATGTGAGGATTCCACACAGAATGGGCCCCTTTTTGTCTCAGTCAACCATGGCCACCACGGTGGCAAACCCGTGTTGAAGACAATTTGGGACTGGGATAAGTGTAAAGGTATAGCAGGGTGCTTATGATCCTGGGTACATTTTGGGCAGTAGTAGGAAAGACCCTGAAACTTTGCACAGGAACTTGAAAAGTGTTTTCTGCTCTGGCCCATTGGGTACTCAGTGATATAATTTGGTGGTCTACAGTTGAGGTCTTGATGTGAAATCAAGATGGATCAGATCCTGTCCCTGTGCTTGGATGAATGGGCAGAACCTGTTACAAAAGGCTGGATTTGATGGTAGACAGAGGTACATTCCCCAAAAATCGAAGATCCTCGGCCAGCCCCATCCTGCAAGAATTTTCTTTGAAATAATGCAATTTGTATTAATATTATTATTTCTGATAACTAAGTTTGGCTCTTTTAATTTGATTTCTGATGGTTTAATCCTTAGGTATTGGTCCTCCTCTTCGCCTTCAGTATTTACTCTTCCTCCTTCTTTATGCTGTCGTAATGGTTGGGCATTTACTTTCTAAATGAAGGATTAAACTTCTTATCACCCCACTCCATTTGCTGGAGATTTAAGCATGGTGTGGTAAGACAGAGGTTGCCAAGGCTGTGAGAAAATGCTTAAAACCCCCCAAACAACATAAAAACCTCAACAGACGTGACCTGCAAATGACTTATTTATTTATTGATCTATTTATTTATTAATTAATTTAGATGTGGAATGAAGTAACTGAGTTCTTTCACCCAGAAATATGTGTACTCCTGTGTTCCTGTGCCAGGTGGCTGGAAAAAATATCACAGCATGTGTGAGATGCTATTTCGAACCCGCTTTCTCTGAGGTGATAACTGGAGAGGGTTAACAATGGCCTGGTCTAATCTTCTTCTGCAGAATGGCTCACATGAGTAAGGAAGTTTCACGTAAGAAAGACCACTTCAAAACTTTCAGGATGATTATAGAGAGGTCAAATAGTCATTTGATTTTGGAGAAGGGAACCTTTATTTATGCTTTTTTTTCTCTTGTTTCAAAATCAACCCAGTTAAACTATGCCTACCATAAAGGAGGATTCAGCATGTGTAAGCGGAACAGACAGTAATTGTTTTGTAATGTTGTATATTATTTCCTTTTTTCTCTATTGACAAAAATATGTAAAAAAAAAAGTCAGAACAAATGACACACATTTAAAATCTTATGTTAATCACCTTTCTGCTTTCTCAATGAATATTTTAAGCATAAAGACTAAATGTCGAAATAAAACAGACCGAAGAATTACTGAGATGCAAATGGAGATCTTGTTGGCTCCTTATTAATCATCTGCAAACTGTAAAGCTATTTTCAATTAGTCTGACAAATCAAAGGAAATAATCATCTTTGCTGATATTAAGCTTGAGAGATTATTATTTTTTAATTCGTAATGCTACAACCTTTCTCTCCTTTTGCTCATCAACAAATTGCAGTTGGACTGAGATACTGATTCCAGTATCTGCAGTGATGCGCTCATCTACTATTGTGTGTTTATCTTTCAATTTGCTTTAGAGGCAACTGGCTCCTGAATTTCTTGCTCTTCTTTTTTTTCCCTAAAAACTGGAAACACCTTCTTCTTCCAGTTTTTTTCTGATGTTGTTTTACAGGTCTTAGGGCTATTGAGTGAGGTGATGCAGGACTGAGGCCAGCTTAGATAATGAGCCTCCCAAAAGGAACACAAATGGAGATGTTCTGTCTGCATATACTCTAGAAAACACACACAGTTTGTCTAGAGAGTACTTACATCAATTATCTTATATTCTGATGTCAGGAGCAGGATGAATATGATCTCACACGACGTACACCCTGATTACTGCCCAAGATGCTAAATTAACAGGAGTCTACCAGTTTCTCAGTTGTGTTTTCTTTTTCTCTTCTTCCAGAGTAAATATTCCAGATTTTTAATGTCTTGAAGGGTTTTGTTTGTTTGGTTGGTTTTCTTACTGTGCTTTATTATTTGTCTTGTTTTGTTTGTTTGCTTCCTCCCCTTTAACACCTGAGAAAATTCTGTTTTACAGAAAAGGCCAAGAAATGTTGAAATGTTGCTCTTGGGTGAATGTCTTGTGAATGGTGACTCCTCCTTTCTTCATTTCTGAAATTGCAGGGAAGAGCTGATGATAGGCAGGCTGGAGCAGGAAAGCCCTCTGAGTCACGGCTCTACTTTGGTAATCTATATTGCGCAGAAAACGCCGTGGAAGTCAGGGGGGTCAAATCTTGTGGTCTTTTTGCAGTCAAAATGCCTTCTTGGAATCTGAGTGAGTAATAGCTGCTGTGCCATGGTGTGACCATGGTAACTGCATACTACTCATGATCCAAGCAAAAGTCCATTGACATTAGTGGACAGACTCCCAATGAGTAATGCAGTAAGACTTCACCAAGACCTCCCAAGTATTAATTTCAGTGTTATCACCTTGATTTATCTGCCTTAGTTAACTTTTCACCTGCATTGGTCTTGTGTCAGTACACATGTGCACACACAGACACACATGAGATATTGAAGATTACCAAGCTCAATGCTTCAGGGTTGGAGAAATGAGAAACGTAATTCACACAGTCTGCAAAACTTTGTTTTTTCTCCTGTGCAATTGAATTATGAGTTGTCTTACTTGCATTTAGACCTACATTTAGGTTCAGATTAGCAGTGTAGTTTTGAAGTAATTTCCCTATAGTTCCATTTTAGGGTGCTGAGATTTACTTTGTCCCATGCAGCATGGCTTCCTTGGACCTTCCTTAATGTGCTACCACAGTAACGTGAGCTCAGGCCAAAAGGCCAGGCTAAAATTACCCTGAAGCAACCCCCTGGCAGAGATTGTTTCGTTCCCCCAGAGACACTCCTATTGCTAATGCACACATTGCCATAAACCAAATGTTCTCAGACTCCTTTTTGGCCACAGAGGCTCCTGACCCACTCAGGACAGGTTGTAATCTGAGGAAGAACCTGGGTGGGTGATGTTGGAACCAGATGGAATAAACTTGTCTTGTTTTCTGCAGAGTTTAGGAGGTGTTTGGGATAACAGACCAGAAGAAGTTCTGATGGAAAAAAAACTGTAAATGAAGCCTTAAGAAATGTCATATTTATCCCTTCCTCTTTCATAGATTTTCTATACGGCATTGGGAAACTCACATGTGGGTAGCCACTAATAACGTGACCATCCCTTTTGGTGATGCCTAATTTCACACCCTGAAGTTTGTTTTGCAGGAATGTTCAGTGCTCTCAGTGATATCTTAAGCCAGAGGATCTCATGCTTGCATTAATCCTGCGGAATACCAAATTCTTTAAAAATACAGTGAATGTTCAAAATACTGCAAACCCAGTGCTTTATTTTTTCCACCTCCTCCCATCCCCAAATCCGGAGAACAGATAGTAACTCCTTCACTCCTCAAAGATGGAGCACTTGTGAAGTGCTTGGATGAGCACCATGGAAAACCCTTCAGCTTCGGCAGGGCTGCAGGAAGGAAGGTGTGAGGAGTAAGCAAAATACAGGTCCACTGCTCATGAGGGGCAATGTCCTCCCTGTGTCTTCAATGAGGCAAAGGAAAGAAATTT